TGGTTTGCAGCCGAGAGCAGAACAAAAAGCCTTCCATACCTGGGATATGAATTGGGGACCTCTGTCCGATAGAATCTCCTGGGGGATGCCATGAAGCCGGAAAACATGTTTAATTAGAAGCTGGGCTGTCTGGAAGGCCGTGGGAAGTTTTCTCAGGGGAACTAGATGGCAAGACTTAGAGAAACGGTCGACAATGGTTAGTATGGTGGACATACCTCGGGAGACAGGGAGACCGGTGACGAAATCAATGGCTATGTGGGACCATGGACGCGAGGGAACAGGTAGTGGTTGAAGGAGACCAGAAGGAGGTTGATGTGAGGCCTTATTACGAGCACATGTGGGACAGGCCAACACATACTCTTTAACGTCTCGATGGAGCGTAGGCCACCAGAAGCGCCTGGAGATTAGAGCGACAGTCCTACTCACTCCTGGATGAGCGGAGAATTTTGCGGCATGCATCCACTGGATCAGACGGGACCTGACAGAAGAAGGGACATATGTGCGATTAGACGGACCGGTACCTGGATCTGGTTCGGTGGCTAGGGCTGAGTTGATTAGGTCCGTTATCTCCCAGTTGACCACTCCTACGGTGCATGAGGCTGGGAGAACAGGTTCAGGTGTCTCAGGATGATCGACGGAGTAGAGACGAGAGAGAGAATCGGGCTTCACGTTCTTGGATCCGGGTCTGTAGGTGATAATAAGATTAAATCGGGAGAAAAAGATGGACCACCTGGATTGGCGAGGGTTAGCCTGTTTGGTTGACTGGATGTGAGCCAGATTTTTGTGGTCAGTCCACACAAGGACCGGATGCTCAGCTCCCTCCAGCCAATGCCTCCATTCCTCCAACGCCAGTTTGATTGCCAGGAGCTCACAATCACCCACATCATAGTTTTGTTCAGCTGAGGAGAGCTTACGGGAAAAAAAGGCACAAGGGTGTATTCTTTGATCTGAATCGAGTTTCTGAGAAAGAACAGCTCCAACACCGGAATCTGAAGCGTCCACCTCAAGGATGAATTGTTTTGAAGGATCAGGTTGAATTAGTACAGGTGCTCTGGAAAACATGGATTTTAATTTCTCGAATGCAGCTTGGGCCTTGGGGGTCCACTGAAAAGTTCGTTTGGAAGACGTTAGTGAGGTTAATGGAAGGGCGGTTTGGCTATAGTTCCTTATGAACCGACGATGGAAGTTAGCAAAACCTAAAAACCTCTGTAGTTGCTTTCGATTCTCTGGAACTGGCCAATCTAGGACTGCCTTGATCTTGTCCTCAGAAGGTTTTACCTGGCCGCCCTCGAGCACAAACCCCAGAAAGGTGACTGAAGACTGATGAAATTCGCATTTCTCGGCTTTCACGAACAGCTTATTCTCCAGTAGTCTCTGTAGAACGAGACGGACATGTCTCTTGTGTTCGTGGAGATCCTTGGAATAGATGAGAATGTCATCAATGTAAACAAACACAAACACGTTGAGGAAATCTCTGAGAACATCATTAACAAGGGCTTGGAAACAGGCTGGGGCGTTAGTCAGACCAAAAGGCATCACCAGGTATTCAAATTGGCCCAAGGGTGTCTTAAAGGCAGTCTTCCATTCATCACCCTCTCGTATTCTGAGGAGGTGATAAGCGTTTCTTAAATCCAGCTTGGTAAAGACAGTTGCACCCTGCACTGGTTCAAAGGCTGAGGCGAGAAGAGGCAGTGGGTATTTGTTTTTAATTGTAATTTGGTTCAAACCTCGATAGTCAATGCATGGCCTCAGGGAACCATCCTTCTTGCCCACGAAGAAGAAACCGGCGCCCAGGGGAGAGGATGAAGGACGGATTATTCCAGCAGCCAATGATTCGTTGATGTATTTCTCCATAGTCTCTCTTTCTGGTTTGGAAATGTTATACAATCTGCTGCTTGGAAGAGGAGCACCAGGTAAAAGTTCTATGGCACAATCGTATGGTCTATGTCGAGGTAGGGACGTCGCACTGACCTTACTGAAGACGGGGGCTAAGTCGTGGTACTCAGAGGGAACTGAAGAAAGGTCAGGAGAGTCCATCTCCCCCCCACCTCTAGGAGGCCCCAACATCGGGGCAGCAGAACGAAGGCATGTTTCGTGGCACGTAGTAGACCATGATTCCAGGAGACGTTTGGTCCAATTGATGTGAGGGTTATGCTTCTCCAACCACTCGAATCCGAGGACCAGGGGGGAACATGCAGAGGGAAACACAAAGAAGGTGATAGTTTCTCGGTGGTTACCTGACAAAAGTAGCTCAAGGGGCTGGGTTTGGTGGGTAACACGATGAAGTCTCTTTCCGTCTATGGCGGACTCACTGAGAGGCTGAGACAGGGGAACGGTTTTAATCTGGAGCTGCTGGACGAGGTCTGAGTCGATTAGATTATGCTCACAGCCTGAGTCGATGAAGGCGGAGAAGGAGAGACTCTGGTTATTACAGAAAAGGGTGGCTGGCAGCAACAGTCAAGGAGATTTAATTGAATTTATATGGCCCGCCAGACTCCTCATATCCTCTGGCGGGCCCCGGCTTTTGATTTTGCCGGGCAGGAGGCGATAAAGTGGCCACTCTCACCACAGTAGATACAAAGTTTTCCTAGAAAACGCCTCTGTCTCTCCTCAGGAGAGAGCCTAGTGTGTCCCACCTGCATAGGCTCATAATCCCTTTCGCCTGAATGAGAGGCCTGAACAGGCAATGATAGAGACTGGGGCTTAGATCTCTGTGTGGGCATCTGCTCTGTAGAGGGAGAGAGAACAGCCATGTTATGAGAGGCAGAGGAAAAGTTACCTTGCTTCTTAGAGCTGTTTCTGGCTCGAATTCTGTTATCTAATCTGATGGAGAGACGAATTAAATCTTCGAGGGAGGCTGGTTCATCGAGGGTAGCAAGTTCATCTTTGATTTGTTCATTTAAAGCCATGAAAAATGCTCCTTTTAGAGCGCTCTGGTTCCATCCGGAAGCTGCCGCTTTTACCCGGAAGTTAATTGAAAAATCTGCCACTGAAGAATTACCTTGTTTAAGGTTGAAAAGAGCTCTGGAATCAATCGTTTGGTCTGTCTCCTGGTTAAAAACCTGGGAAATTCAGCAATGAAGTCAGAAAAACGGCAATTTAAACCGTCGTCGATGGCAAATCTTGCCTGAGCCCATTCTAAAGCTCTTCCTGTTAACTGAGAGAGAATGAACGTTATCTTCTTGTAATCTGTAGAAAAACAACCAGGAGAGTTCAGAAAAATCAGCCGGCACTGGAATAGGAATCCCTTACAATCTTTCATGTTACCAGAGAATCTTTCTGGGAGACTAGGATGGAACTCTGATGACGTCACAGGTTGTGAGCTCGGGGGAGGAACTGGACCCGGAAATTGTTGCTGTGCGGATGTAGCGTTAGCTCCATTCAGAAAATTAGAGCAACTCTGTAGCATTTGATTATGAGATCCAACAAGATGGTATAACTCACGAAGCGTTTGGGTTTGTCCTTGGAGAAGAGCTTCCTGCTCGTCCAAACGACGGGTGAGGTGATCTGCTGGGCCTTGAGTTTGGCCGCAGTGTTCTGTCATGATCGGTTCTCTAATGGAGACCCAAAGATGCAGAACACCACTGACGGACACAGGATGAAAAGTTTAACAAGTTTATTTGCACAATCACACTGAATATGCAGAAGGCTGGTTCGGGCCTGGATTCTGGTTTCACCGGAGTCTGCGTGAGAGACAGCACAGTTAAGGACTGTTGACGGGGCCTGGTTTCCAATGAAGCACAGATAGTACCTTGAGGGTTCTTGAGGTTCTCTTTGGGAGAGTCACTGTTGGTTCTGGAGAAGGATTTAGTAGCAGAGTCCGTTAGCTGCTTCAGCGTCTCACGTCTAGTTTGAGCAGACCTTGGCATTGGTTTCCCAGCTCTAGCCCAGAGCTGCTTGGAGGTTGTCTGAGGATCTTCAGGGTTTGGCTCTGAGGGTCGGCTCGGCAGGTTAGCTCTTCCAGAGCTTTCACGGAGGAAGCACGAGTTTCCTAGAGGCACAGAAACAGAGGTTAGAATCCAACTAGGGATTAGAGTCATGGAGATAATCACTGAGATCAAGGCTTTAGCGCTGACCAACTGGAACAACACTGCGGCGTTGAGGCAAGGTCTGAAGACAGCTTATGTAGTGGATCATCTGATGATCTTGATGAGCTGCACCTGTGCAGGAGGCTCCCTCAGAGGATCCACGGCGGACTCTGCTGGAGAAAGATGGGATTTTCTCCAGCTCCCAACAGAATTTTAGGATTTACTTTTCTTATTTATCATTTATGTGCATTGTAAATAAAGTTAATGTAACCAAGGCTTCTAGTTATAGGAAATAAATCATAAAGATATGAAATTTGTAATGACACACCTGTTCAATATTTGACATATTTTATTATGACCAGATATTAATATGTTTGTTAATACTGAGTCCTTATACTTATATGGTTCAAAATGTATTAATTTTCTTAACCCTTTCGATCCAAATACAGCTAAGTGAGAAGAATATAACAGCAAACTGAAACTTTTTATTATTCAGATATATTTAGATATACTTATTAAGCCTGTTGGCTGAACGTGAAAACTTTTTGTTCATCATACTCCAGGATAGTTTTTTACTTAATTAGGAAAATTTTAAAGGGAATGAAAATACGTCAATATTAACACACACACAGAGACATATATATAGATACAGGCAATGACTGGGTTCATTGTTTATTTTTTTGAGTCCTATTTGGATTGAATATTTCAATGTTTATCAGGAACACCACAATATATTTTGCAGAATACATACCAGGTCTATTAGAGAAGCCATTCCATTCAGTACCTCGATGAACTGACGTCAGCCTCTGAATATGCCTGTGTTCTGTCATGCTCAGAACTTGGCCCACACCACAGTCTGCTAAGTATAAATGAAAGTGATCTGCTTCCTTTCATAAATCACGCTGGAAGAATGCATAGCATGTGCAGTATTTTACCAAAGAGGCTAGATGCAAGTCGTGCATGCGTCATTTGTAAGAAGTGAGGGGATAAATAAATCATGAGAAGCCAACTATTCGCCCTCCAACCTTTCGACATGATGCTTCACGATTAAGGTAATGTAATAAAGGTTTACTATGAGGATAGAGGGGCTGGTGAGTCATAGGTCAGCTGTGGGTGTAAGGTGAGAACATTGGAAAGCCTCAAGCGTTTTGGGAGATAATGAGACCTCCTGTATCTCTCAAGCGTCCCAGCATTAGGAAATATTACTTCCTCTTTCCTCTTGTAGCTACAAGGAGCTTGTATCATTCACAGTCTCAGAACAGCTGTTTTAATCATGTTCACAAAACTGGCAGCAATGTCTGTTCAGTGATGGGGTTCTAGGTTTTAAATGCATGAAAGTGGAAAAGGAAAAGAAAAAACTGCTTAAGAGAATTAATAAAAAAAGGAAGCGCATCACAAAGGAAATGCTGGTAATTTCCGGAGGAGAATTCACTCCCAGATGTGCCTGTGAGACAAATTACTGGAAAAGGTGCCAGGGCTTTACTGAAAACCGTCTGGCTCACTGTTTTATTGAAGTTATGATGCTCCACTCAGACACATCATTTAGAGCCACCTGACACTTGAAATATTTATTCAATATTTGTTCGGTTTTCTCACAGGTAAAATATGTATACCACTCTTGGCTTGCGGCTTTTGTCTCTCCCTCCCACAGCACATGGTGACGTGTTTCAATATTTACATGCTTCTGTGGCATCAAAACACTTCACACTTACCAAAAAGACGTATGTGAGGCAGAGTCATTTGCTTTGTTATTCAAAAGGAAGTAAGTCTTCCTTCTTGGAGCATCTAAAGAATGGTCACATGTTCACAAAGGAATCGGAAGCCTTTTTAATCCATCAATTTAGAAAGCAGGCTGATTTTACACGTAAGATTACATAATCCTGTCTTTTTAAAACTGAGTACATTTTAGCTCTTAAATATTTAGCTTCAAGATTAATGACAAGTCTTAAATTAATCTTTTCAAAACATATATACCATTCATATTTTATATCTATTTATATTTACACTATATTTCAAAAATGATTCATTTGCATTTTCACTTTACATTTATGATATCCTTAATCTTAATCTTCCTAATCTGTAGGTTCCAATGTGTTGATGGGCCCAGCAATGGCAGCTCCAACTAGTCTGTGAACATCTGGCTTGGGCAGCTATACTGGTAAGGATGTGAAGATTCACAACAGCCTCACTAATCCCAGGCACTGACATCCCAAGATGTTGTTTTCTCAGCACTTACTACTTTACTCTTTCTACACAAAACTGCTCTTCTATACATACAACAAACATGGTTGTAACCTTTGTATACTGCACAATTCCATCACATGGACACAAAGACACAAAAGCATTTAAACACACCCACTCTCATCTTGCTATTTATAATAAGGACCATGTGTTGACTCTCATTTTGAACCCTTCCTATACCCTTACCATAAATATAGCCCTAAATCTAACTACATAACTGAGACTGAGACTAACTGAGACTAACCCTCAATTAAACCCATTTCACACCTTAGTCCCAAACCTTACCATCTAAATGCCCTTGCTTTATAAAAATCGCCCCACTCCAAAGATTAAAAACTGAAACTGGTCTTAGGTCTTATTCTAAAACAAGAGTACACACATTCACACTCACACCTTATGGCAATTTAGCAAGAATAATAAATTCAACAGCTATGTTGTTGGACTTTGGGAGGAAACCAGGGTTCCTGAAGTGAACCCACTCATGCGCAGGAAGACCATCCTACCTGCATGACCCCAGACTGTCTTGCAAGAATACAATGTTAAGAACTGTCACATGGTGCAGCCGCTCTGCCAGAATCACATCCATGAAATCAAATGTCTTTGTCTGTCATCAAATCCAAAACCATTTGGATTACCACAGAAGTAATGTTCCTATGCCAGACAAAGCCAGGCATGACACTTTTACTAAAAGCCTGGAGCTACTCCAGACATTTTGAATTGAGAAAGCTTTCTGGATGGGAGGGGAAACGTCAATGTCCAGTGGTTTGTATTGAACCTTTTTTGGACTCGTATTAAGTTGTTTAAGCATTTGGCTTTTTTGCCCCTCCGAATCTCTCTTACCAGTGCTGCACCTTGTTTATCGAATGTTAAGTTGTTTTGGCTTGTTGAGCACATCAGCCTGGTTCTGAAGTCCTTACGCTGGATCCATTGCCAGAGAATAGACTTTAAAATCCTTCTGTTAGTATAAAAATCACTGAATGGATCAGCACCTCAATACAACTGACCGTGTCACTGACATTGGCTTTGCCTTCTCCCTCCAGATCATCCTGCCTACATTCGTCTGCTCTGTTCTGATTCCTTCCCTGTCCTCGAATCACCAATACATCCGCATCTGGGACTCTCTGTGTGGCGACCGACGCACTGTTTTGGCAGCCAGCCAGCTGGAACTATCCATTATCTCTGGATTCCAACTGAACTATAAGACCAGGTAAGTGAATCACACGTTTTTGATTATTCACTTCCAGAAATACATACCCTGTTGTTTCCATTCGCAGAGGTTCCTGCCTTAGATGCCGATACTGCTTACTCTGATCCTGTCGTCAATAAACGTTGTGAGAATTCTGTTTGTCCACCTTGATTACTGGATCCTTCAGCTCTGAGCCTGACAATTAGGTCCTTTGGTACTCTGTACACCCAGACATAGAACAATATACAAAGAAGCAGCATTTATCCTATCCCCTACTTATCTGGAGCAAACTCCCAAAAGACCCTAAAAGGGCTGAAAACCTGAGTTCTTTTACATAAAAGTTAAAAACTCTGTCTCTGACTGATGAAGTTAAACTGTTATCTGAGGTATAATTAGTTTAAGTTTGCATTCCAGCGATTTTATTTACTTTACTACCTGCTTTTATCATGTTTTTATCTGTACTTACTTTATTCTGCTTTTGTCTTACGTCCATTGTATTGCTTAATTAAAATAAAGTACTTTGATTTGCCTCTGTACTGAATTGTGCTATAGAAATAAAGTTGCTTTGCCTTGTTCATTCTTGGAATTGCACTCAACTGTCTTTATTTTTTTTATGTACAAGGTGTGTTAATTACTTCTTTCCACAAATTTAAAGGAAATATTTATTGTCTTTCATGGTCTTGGTTCTGTTATGCTTTACTTTGCTCCATGTGTTCTAGTTTTATTGGTTTAATTCCTATTTTGTTGTACTTTCTAGATATATTTTAGTGGTCAGGTTTTTCTTAGTTGTCCTGTGGTACCCTCTTGTGTGTGTTTTCCTTTTACCTTGGCTTCCTCGTAGCCTCCTCTAACACGTGCTCCTTATCTGCTCGTTAGCCCCGCCTTTGTCTCAGTCAGCTATATATACTCTGCCTCTGCTGTCATTCCTTGTTGGTTTCTTATCATTGCTGGTTTCTCAATGCTGTTTTCTTCCTACCTCGTCTCTGCCTGGCTCCTCATGTTCGGTTTACCCTCATGTCTCCATGGTTCTGGTTTGCTTTACATTTTAAGTTGGATTTTTGGATTCCTGCCTTTGTTTACTGTTCATCAATTAAACTGCAAGAAATCTCCTCAGCCTCTCTGCCTCTGCATTTGGGTCCTCAAACCACAACCAAACCCTGACATTGTCACATAAAGAAGAGAGTCAAGGAAGAAGACATTTTACTAGAGGCCAGTAGCATTAACAAAAATGGGTCTTTACAAGTTACGAGTGTTAATTAATTGCTGAGAAAAAAATATATATTAAAGGCAGGGACTAAGAGGGCAAGAACATTTACAGATATGTCAGAATTACTCTAATTCAGAATAGCTTGTGTCTGTATTGTTAGAGGTATCACAGTGCCATGTTTCAGGCCAGAGACAAAACTGCCTTTATAATCTTCATTATTTTAAACATCTAAGCACTAAGTGTTTTAGTGTAATTTGCCCTGTTTTTCATTAACTTAAGCAACCTCTTACACAAATTTACCTTGTCACGTCCACCCAATTTTGTGTGCTAAGTAATTATTTGCCAAAAGAAATTGTCTTTAGAAAACATTTGATGTTTAATGTTGTCATTTGGCACCTAATGACCAGGCTACTTACCCTGTAGGTGTCTGAGGGTCATTGTGTCAACTCAACCATAGTACAGCAGATACAGATACAGTACAGCAGTTTACAGACACTAAACAGAGATGGGACTAAATGTGAGAGGATGATGAGTCCCTCAAAAGATCTCAGAAAATCTTGTCCCTAGTATTTCAAAGATAGGGACAAGACAGAGGAGATTACAAAAGACTACAGGAGGTCTAGAAAAACTCACCTGGCTCCTCAGCATATTTTAAGCTGTCTTCACAAGCATAAAGTTCTTGACCTTTACATTTCCTCTGACTTTTTCTGGACTGACAACACTGCCTACCAGCTAAAGATTGCCTGGCAATTGTTCTTCTTTTTTAGGAAGTTGAAACAGACTGGACTCCCTTCTCAGTTGCTTAGTAACTTTTGCAGGGCGACAGGTGAGTACAGCGTTACATGGCACACACACACAAATGCGCACACAAATAAGCCAATAAGGTCAAACAGACCATCAGCCCTTTTCCACAGTGGACTGTCACTAGCTACGCTTTATGTGTAGCTTCTAAACTACATTTGTATGTAGGTCTTTTTCTTCTATTTGTTTATTCAAGCTTATTTTTATGTCTATTTTCTAAGAGTGTTTTATAATTAATGTTTTTCTTCTTAAGTTTTTTTATATATATATATTTTCTACAGGTATTGTTGATTTCTCAATTAAAAGTGCAAACTAAGCTGGGAATTTCTGCTAAATTTCAGTTTGTTTTCATAATGATATTAACCGGTTTTAAATATATTTTATTATTGATTTACATAATAAAACATGGTTATCAAAAATATAAAGTAGTTTCTAAAGTGTAACAAATAAGGTCCAGAAAGTTGCAGGTATACTCAGAGGAAGTTCAATTTAAGTTCTGTTCTCTGTTCTGTTCTGATCTCTAAAGGATCAGGAAAGCAGTGTCTAACTTAAGTAAAAGTACCATCATAAGTAATTTCATACTAGATATGGATTTCTGAGAGCATACAGTTGGATAATGGAGGTTAATCTGGAGCTTCAACCAAATCGGGCCTACGGTTATTTCTTTAAAATTTACTGTTTCCTGGAAAGTAATCATTAAGTTCTAGAAATTACCCTTTGAGTTAACTGAAGATAAGAAATTAGAAGAAAGTAGTAAAGTTTGCTACAGGAAAGAAATTAGTATATTCTAGGAAGGTTTAAGGAGATTAGCCATTTAGCTTGATTAAAGCCATCAAAAGACATAGTATTTTTGGAGGAGTCCTAGATACATTCAACAGAGTAACTAATTTCAGTTAAAGTCCCACAAAATTACATAGTAAGGTATTGTCATGTAGGATAATCGAAGACTAACTGTAATCCTGCAGTTTGCTTACAATGAAGTAATACCTTCATTGACCTGCTTTAGCAAGGTAAATAAAGTGCTGTCTGCATCTTTCCAAGAAAGAGTGCTATAAGTATAATGTCCTTTGATTACCCAGTGCATGTAAGGCAAGTCAGGGTGATTTACTTGCTCAGGAATTCAAGAGGTTCCAGCTGGAGGCCTTGACAAGCGACTAGATCAAAGACTATATGACATTTAGACCACAGTTTAGGAAACTTAAGGGATGTTTGGCTAACCAGGTAGTCAGCAGCACAGGAGCACCAGAAGGGACTGTACTCTTACCATAATTTTTAATTTTTTTCACCTCACAATTCCAGTACAACACAGACTCCTGTCATCTGCAGAAAAACTTGGTTGACCCTGCAGTGGCTGTGCGCATTAGAGCTGGAAAGAAGCTAGGTAGGCCTACATTGCGCTGGTGGAGTGCCTTGTGGCGTGTGAAAACAACAACACCATCCCATAGCATCTGATAAGAAAAGTTGAACAGCTGGTCTAACTTCCAGACTTCCTCACCAACAGACCTCAGTCAGTCCAGGTTGGAGAGAACACCTCAGATCTCACCACCCTAAGCACAGGCTCCCCTCAGGGCTGCGTCTTGAGCCCACTGCTTTTCACTCTGATGACACATGACTGTGTCCCCAGGTTCACCACCAATCACATTGTGAAGTTTGCAGACGACACCACAGTGGAGGGCCTCATCAGAGACAACAATGACCAGGACTACAAAGAGGAGGTGGAGCAGCTGGTGGGCTGGTGCAGAGACAAAACCTGATCCTGAACGTGGAGAAGACGAAGGAGGTGATTGTCAACTAAATGAAGAACCGGCCTAACCATGCTCCACTGCTCCTCAACAGCTCAGCTGTAGAGGTTGTCAGAAGCACCAAATTCCTGGGGATGCACATCACAGACAACCTCACCTGGACTGTAAACACCACCTCACTGGTCAAAAGTGCTTTCACTTTCTGTGGGGGATGAGGTGAGCCCACCTGCCTCCACCCATCCTGACGACCTTCTACAGAAGCACCATAGAGAGCGTTCTGACCAGCAGTCTCACTGTGTGGTGTGGAGGCTGCAGCACCTCAGACTGGCAGAAGGTGAAAAGAGGGGTGAGAACAGTAGAGAAGATCATCGGGGTTCCTCTTCCCTCCATAACAGAAATTTCATCCCAGTGCTGTGTGTCCCGAGCCCGTAACATCATCAATGACCCCTGACACCCCCAACATGCACTGTTCTCCCTGCTGGCCCCTGGGAAGACACTTTGTAGCTTACGGTGCAGGTCCAGAAGGTTCTGCAACAGCTTCTTCTTTTCCACTGCAATCAGATTGCAGAACTGTTGAGAAAATTCAAAATCATGTCACAGACTCTTCATCACACTGATAACACAAAACAAAATTCTGCATGTTTGCACCATACATATTTAATGCTCTGAACTTCCATATCAATGCTTTTTTGCACCATGCCTTTTCTCCCACACTGTTTGCATTTGATTATTGCTGCACTTTATGGACTGGAAATGTTCTGAGAGCTGTTTAAAACGAAATTGCATGAAAATAGTCTAAGTCTACACATCAGACTGGGATGCAGATACAATTTTAAAGCCTTCTTAAAATACAGAGCAGAGGAGACTGTATTTCTTCTGAAAGCTTGGATCATTCAAATCTTTTAGCAAGAAGTTACAAATCCTCCAGTTTGTTATAGAGGCTGAGGAAGGTAAAGGTTGGCTCTGTTTTTGTGTTGCCTGTAGAGCCACTGGAAATTATTGTACAACAAAAATTTCTTGATAAAATGTAATTTGTAAGAACATTGCATGATATATATCATTTAAGTTCCGTTCTAAAATTCCTAAATATATTTAGATTTAATTATATATATAAATATAATTGTAATTAGATGTTTTATTTAGATGTGACCGTACAGGTCCTTCTCAAAATGTTAGCATATTCTGATAAGGTTCATTATTGTCCATAATGTAATGATAAAACTTGAACATTTAAATATTTTAGATTCATTGCACACTAACTGAAATATTTCAGGTTTTTTATTGTCTTAATACAGATGATTTTGGCATACAGCTCATGAAAACCCAAAATTCCTATCTCACAAAATAAGCATATTTCATCAGACCAAAAAAAGAAAATTGTTCTTAATAAAGAAAAAACAAACCTTCAAATAACTATGTACAGTTATGCACTCAATACTTGGTTGGGAAGCCTTTTGCACAAATGACTGCTTCAATGCGGCGTGGCGTGGAAGCAGTCAGCCTGTGGCACTGCTGAGGTGTTATGGAGGCCCAGGATGCTTCGATAGCGGCCTTTAGCTCATCCAG